CCCTTCCAACCCAATCCATTCTGTGATTCGATGATTTATGTCAATGAGTGTACAGACGTCTGTCATAATTTTTGTACCCAGTATTCAATTCCAAACGTTTGGTGGAAGTCTTTAAAGAAAAGACTTTTTACTTCTGTTGTTCCCATAAAACTGCTAGTTTTGTGGAAAGCAGTGGCTAGGTAAAGGATACAGTGTGTAAGTGAAGTGCCCTACAGGTAGAAGATTGCCACTTTAGCTGCCCTTCTGCCTGACACCAGACAATCTTGGCAGTAGAGTGACCTTGTGAAATATGCCAAGCTTGGGAAAAGCTCCAGAACCTGCCCTAAATTCCTATGCTTTTATCCCAGATCATCTGCTTATTCTGTTCTCCCTCACTTCAGGCAGCCCTTTTTATGTTTTAATTGAAACTTCGGGCTCCGACTCCACCCATGATGAAGAAAAATTGAACAACTTCCTAGAAGAGGCCATGACTTCTGGTTTGGTCAGTGATGGAACTGTGGCAACAGATGATAAGAAAATAAAGGCAAGTCATCATTTCCTCTTGCGCAAATCTCTTTGACGTGATTCTCTGCTTGGATTTGTATTTTTAATAGAGAGATATTCAGACTGATGTTTGTTGTAAATGTCCCTGAGTGAGCTGGTGGTTTGGAGTATTGGTCTGCTTGAGGGTAGGAAGGCCGTACAGAGTGATCTGGGCAGGCTGGATCAGTGGGCCAAGGCCAGTTGTGTGAGATTTAACAAGGCCAAGTGCCAGGTCCTGCACTTGGGTCACAACCACTCCATGCAGAGCCACAGGCTCAGGGAAGAGTGGCTGGAAAGCTGCCTGGCGGAAAAGGACCTGGGAGTGCTGATCAAGAGCCGGCTGAACAGGAGCCAGCAGTGTGCCCAGGTGGCCAAGAAGGCCAACGGCATCCTGGCCTGCATCAGCAATAGTGTGGCCAGCAGGACTAGGGAAGTGATCATCCCCTTGTACTCGGCACTGGTGAGGCCACACCTCCAATACTGGTGTCAGTTTTGGGTCCCTCACCATAAGAAGGACATTGAGGGGCTGGAGCAGGTCCAGAGAAGGGCAACGAAGCTGGGGAAGGGTCTGGAGCACAGGTCCTGTGAGAAGCAGCTGAGGGTTGTTTAGTTTGAAGAAGAGGAGTCTGAGAGGAGACCTTACCACTCTCTACAACTACCTGGAAGGAGGATGTAGCGAGGGGGGGTCGGTCTCCCTAGTAACAAGCAGTAGGATGAAAGGAAACAGCCTCAAGTTGCACCAGGGGTGGTTTAGATGCAGTGTTAGGAAAAATTTCTTTGCCAAAAGGGTTGTCAAGCACCGGAACAGGCTGCCCAGAAAGTGGTTGAGTCACCATCCCTGGAAGTATTTAAAAGACACGTAGATGTGGCACTTAGGGACATGGTTTAGTGGTGGACTTGTCAGTGCTAGGTTAATGGTTGGACTTGCCGACAATTCTGTGATTCTTATTTGGCATATTGAGTAAGGACACTTAAGAGAGAACAGGTACCACTGGTGACTCTTCCCAGGAGGCATGAGTATTTGGGGTTTCAGTGGATGTTTTATTTTTTAAAAAATCTGAATAATTAATTACATCTTTTAGTAGTTGCTGGGGTAGGACCCGAACTAGCTAAAAACTGTCAAAACTAGAAGCTGAGTTGTCAGCAAGGCCAGGAGTGAGCAAATACCTGCAGGCCAGCAGGGCAGTGAGTTAGAGCCAGAGACTGCGCTCCCGGGGAGCGAGATGGACACAGTGTGTTAGTGTGAGGAGAGTGGTTTTTGTCTGCCCAGTGAACGTGAATCTTTTACACTGACCCGTGTTTCCTCCAGTCCCAGATCTCAAACCGGCCCTTGCAGTAGTAAACTGGAGGAGGTGCATCCCTGCTTCTTGGGAAACCCAAAACAGTTTTGGAGAGAATGCCCACGCCTGTGTTCTTTCTGTCTGGGGTACTGTCTAGCTTGAAGAGTTGGTCACTTTGCTGTACAATGCTGCCAAGAAAGCGTTATTACTAGCTTCCAAGAGGCAGAGGGTATTGAGGGAAATCAGAAGTTGATGTTCTATGTAAAGAATCGTGGCTCTTTTTCCCTCCGTGCCACAAAGCATGGAACCCAAGAGGTACCTGGTTTATTTGGATTTCTTTGACCTTTGACTCATCAGATGCTATGGAGCCTGCGGGAAAGGATCACAGAGGCCCTCACTCACGATGGCTACGTCTACAAATATGACATCTCTCTCCCTGTGGGAAAGCTCTATGATCTCGTGACTGACACGAGGGCTCGGCTGGGCCGGAGTGCCAAAAACGTGGTGGGCTACGGCCACTTGGGTAAGTGTGGATGCTGGGAAAGGACGTGATTGCTCTTTTGTGAGCCAGATTTCACTGTGCAACCCTAGAAGTTGTTTTTAGATTAGTGAGAGGCATAGACCAAAGAGCCAAGAGCTGTCAGAAGAGGAGGATGCATAAGGATCTTCATGTTTGAATTTCATTGCCTTCAGACTGTATTCCATATATTATTGGCACTTTGCTAGCCAGCAAGCCACAGAACTGGTCATTTGTATCTTCTTGCTCTGTACTTTCTATTTAAGTATGTAGATTGTTTAATTGGACCATCGATGTGATTAATGTATTTAGACACATTTGGTAGATAAACACTTTCTTGTCCAAAGTGATTAGTCATATTGGAAATCAGTCACGTCTGAGCCATTAACCCTCCAACAGAGGGTGACAAAAATAATGCACAGAAAGGCTGGTATGTTTGTTACAGTGCTTTTGAAACTAATTTGATTTTACATACAGGTAAATTGTAGCTTAGCAGAGCTGTTCTGTTAAAAAAACAAACCAGAATAGAACACTCCTCAGCACGCTTGATTTGAGATTATTTGAAAGACATGGAAAGACAAGTTTGCATAACACAGACTGCCTCTGGTGGCTCTTGGTATTGAGGATTAAGCTGTGTGCTGTGAGGGCTTGCTGGCATGAAGGAAGAAGTTCCAGAGTGAGAATGAGTAAGTTGTGTTTGTCTTTGTGTGTTTTGTCTTCTGAATGTGCTTAGTCAAATACCATCACATGCAAGTAGCAAAAGGAGAAAATGTTCCACTTCCTTTGTTTCTGTTGACACAGTGCCCAAAGTACACTTAGAACGTTGCACAAACATAATAGGGAGAGAGAAAATTATGAAGAGCTGTATTAAAATCTAATGATCATTATGAAATACCATTGGAGAAGTCTTTGGCATGCCATCTCGGTGGTGGGACAATAATTAATGCGGCACAGTTGTTGGAATTTTAAAATCACAGGAGTGGGAATTTGAAAGTAGCTTAACTCAGAAAACTTCCTCAAATACTGTACTGAAAGCATGGAAAACCAACAATCCTGTTTGTATTGTGTGTGCACGGAGAGGCCTGATGTTTGTACAAGGACAGTGACTTTGTCTTTTTTCTCAGTTTGTAGACTTAACAAAGGCACCGTTGTCTGAGTATGTGGAGGAGACAGTAACAAGACGCTATTGTAGGGCCACTGAGCTTTTCGTACAGACCCACCTCTGCAATGTTTTCTTCCAGGAGACGGAAACTTGCACTTGAACATCACGGCAGAGTCCTACAGCCATTCCCTGCTGGATGCCATTGAGCCGTTTGTGTACGAGTGGACTGCGAGATGCAACGGCAGTATCAGTGCAGAGCACGGACTGGGCTTCAAGAAAAAGCAGTTCATTCAGTACAGCAAACCCCATGAGGCAGTGTGTCTAATGCAGCGTTTCAAAGCCATGCTAGACCCCAAAGGGATCCTCAATCCGTACAAGACGCTGCCTGCCGGCTCCTGAGAGCAGCACATGCTGAGAAGCGAGCAGATACCATCGCGCGAGGATGGCATGTCTAGCTCGGTAACAGCACTTTAGCCGTAAACAAACTGGTGGATCATGCAATAACATGGAATACTCCTTGTTTTATTTCTTTAGTGTGATGGAACGAGTAAAGGAACATGGTTCCTCTTCTCAGGGGTGCCTGCTCTTTCTGAAGAAGAGCACATTACTAGTTTTAACCACGTGGGTTTCCTGTTTAATCTGAACACTGAAACGAAGCGTGCTGATATTAGGTGTGGCTATTTCCCACTCTCTTTCCCCTTCGTTTGCTCTGATTTATTAGTGAAGTGACACCAACCAGAGGAGGCGTTTTCTCACTTGGAGTGTGCAAGTGAAGCATCAAAGGTGCAGGAGAAGAACCTGTGGATGCTATACCACCATGTCCAAGTGAAAATGTTGCTCTTCCTCACTTGTTTTGATCCAGTATGCTTGTCCAAAAGCCCAGAGCAGCATCAGGCCGTGACCTCCTTAGGAGTGCCACCTGCAGGCTGTCCCCAGCAGGGATCAGTGTTGTCCCACATGTGCAGGTACAGATTGGCAGTCCTGGAGGGACTGGCCAGAGAAGAGGGGGTGTCCAGAGACCTCACTTCTGGGTAGTATCAACTGGAGGGGGCATGCCAGCAGCTGCCAGGCTAAGGGATGGGATCCCAGAGTGTCTGGCAGTTATTTCCTGCTTCCTTGTCTTCCAGCCTGTCCTTGAGACCAAGCGAGAGCCATTGTCCTAATGATTTACAGAAAGATGTCAAATCTGTGTCCCTCCCAACCAGGAAACTAGATTAGGCTGGGTGGAGATCGTGGCACTGATGTTGAAATTATCCAGAGTTTTCTCTGCACTGTGCGCGTGGTGCACTAACGCAAAAGAGATTTCTGTACGTACCTGTACGAATTTATTTTCCCAAGATGCCCCCTTATCGTGGTAGGAGAGGGTGTTTCTGACTGGCAGAGGTGGTTCTGAGGCTCCCCAGCCAGTGGACAGACTAGAGCCTTGTCTCGCCCCACTACAATGGGCAGTCGAGAGACGTTTTTTTATGGTTCCCCGAAAAGGAGCACCAGTTAGGTGGAGTCAGACAATGACTCAAGGAAAATACAACACAATTTTATTTACCTCAGCAACTGCAAAAGCATCATGAAACAGCTTCTCTGAGTCAAGCACCAAATCACACTTATCAGTTATCACCAGATATCACTTATCCATTAAGCAAGCACCAAATACCGCTCAATCATTATCTGGAGGCAAAAATTAGGCAGAAGACAGAGTAAGAAGAGTTGAAGAGTTAAGAAAGAGGGGAGCAGAAAGACAGATAGAGAGACAGAACATCACCAATCCCTCGTTCCAGCACGTGTCTTCTCTTCAGGCAGAAATCTTCATTTCAGGCAGAAACTTCAGGCAGAAATTCCTTGCATGGGGTAAGTGATGGGTTGACAGGGAGTAGGCGGTCAAGCTTCACCTTTTATAGCTTTGTGGGTGGGGGCAGCTGGTTCTCCACTGGGGAGA